CGCCCACGGAGAGCGGCGGAGGGGGCGGGGAAGACACGCCTATAATGGGCGTGCAAGCCTGGAAACCACGCCCAGAAAGGTAGAGGGTCGGTATCGCGTTACTGCGCATGCGTTTACTGCAGTATCTCATTTTGGCCACAAGGTGCCAGCAGAGAGCGCCATCAACGTGCAGTACCGAGGTTTGGCCACCAGATAGTAGCAGAGGTCTGTCGACATGTAGTACTGAATTTCGGCCACCAGGTGCCAGCAGAGAGTCCTGTAAAAGCCTGTTCCTTCACCCGCCCACCTGCAGCACCGCCGTTCGGGCACACGGTGGCAGCCACGAGCTCCGCAGGAAAAAAAAAATTAAATCACAAACAAAACAAAAAACAAAACCAAACAGAAGAAAACCAAAAACCATTCAGCAGCGTGGACACTCAAAAAGGGGCGGGGACACGCTCGAAAGGGGGGCTCTGCACTAAGCGGGGAGGTGCCACGGATGAAGAATGGGTGCGGCTATCAACTTGGAATGGGTGGGGCCACGCAGCAAACGAGCCTGTTTCTTTGCATGAGGCACAGACCTGTACAGTTATCTTCTGGCACACACACATTTTGAGGGATTAACAAACACCTGCATGTGCCCCCAGCCTCTGTCCCCCAGGGACAGTGTTTCAGCCCATGATTAAAAGGGGTGCAGATGTTTACAGACATACAATAAAAATACCTTTCCTGTAAAAAACTTTGACCCTCTGTGTGACTTTAACTTCCACAGCTGTGAACTGATACCATCATCGGTCTCCAGAACTCAGGTATAATTCGACAAGGGCCTTTTTTTTTTTAGTGTTACACAATTCTAAAGGATGTCTGCCCAGGAGACAGGCCCCTCCTGACCCCCCCCATGGAAATGCACCAGTGAAAGCCAGACCCAGGCCTTCAGAGGACTGGTCGAAACACAGGGGGAAAACCCAGTAACATGCACTTGCTGTCCCCAGGAAAAGAACAGCAGGCATCACCCCCAGAGCAGGGCTGGCACACAAGCAACAGGAAGAAGTTTGCCGAATCTACTTGGCACTCCCAGATGGCACCAGCTACAGGGATCTCAGAGGCTGAAACACACCCGAGGCAACAAGAGGGTGAAAGCACAGCTGACTGGAGCCCCAGCACACCAACAGGGACCAGGACACTCCACCAACCCCTGCTTACTGATGTCCCACCAGAACCATGACTGCTCACCTGGCCACAGCCCACACCTAAACCAGCCAAAGCCCACAGAGCTCCAAGGGGCAGCCTGCTGCCTAATCCCAGGGCTCCCCAGGGCTTACCCAGCTCCTCCCACAGCTCTGCCCATTACCGGGGGGGAAAACTGCCCAAGGCTCCGGTGCTGCAGGGCAGCACCAGCTCCAGCCAACTGAAACCACGGCAGCCTCAGCGCCTCTGGAGCCTGCTCCTGATCTGCAACAATTTGTTCCCTCGGCAGGTTCAGCTCATTACCAGGTTTCCATTTAGCCAGAATTTTATGGCCTGTAGCACTGGTGCAGAACAGATTCACCCAGTTACGTTTTCCCGTAACCCCTGGACAGCCACCATTCTGTGCCTGCTGCAGCATCGTGTTCTCCAGCAGCTGCTCCCCGGGAAGCAGTGTGAGCCCTGGCCCTTCCCCATCACCCACCACCAGGTTTTGGCAGAGGCTTGGCTCCCAGCAGCATTCCCTTTTTTGCAATTTCAGCCACACTTCGACCCTTCTAAATTAGCCAGAAAAATTATACTTGTTTAAATCAATAAAACAAAACGTGGCAGCTCTGGATGTGAAACAAAAGTTCCATTTATGGTGACTCCATACACGTTCCTGCAAAGCACCCAAGTCCATCAAAAGTGATGGACAACAATGTCTAAGAATGAGCATTTATAACAAAATCATGCAAGTTGCTTACCAGTTTTTATATTCATAGCAGCTCTGTAAACTTTACTTTCCAATGAAGAATAAATACCAGAGGAAACTTTGACTCATTCCCTGTTCACTTTAGCTCAGCACTGTTTTCAGAACACCATCAAGAGAAGGAAGCCCACATTAAAAGTCAAAAATCAGTACATGAAGAGCTCGTTTTCATCCCATGAAGAGGAAGCCAGGTCTTTCTGAGCAGCTCTTGTCAGGACAGGAACTCCTGTCTTGACAGGAACTATTTGAATACCGTTAATTTTCAAAAGCACTGAGAGTTTCATCTCAGTGGTAGGTTTGATTACATTTAGAACAGAGAAAAACAGCCAGAGGACACCACAGCTGACACCACGAAAGCTCAAAAACTGCTCTTCCATCTTTGCTTTTCTTTCAGTTAAGATACAATAAAGAAAGACGTGGAGGAAGGGTTAAGAGGGATTGGATCAGACCCTGTCTTTGCCAACCCACCCTGACAATACGCTAATGCTCTAGTTACTTTATTTAAAGCCTGATCAAGTTAATAAAACAGGTATCTGGGAATGGTGCAGCAGCACAGAGGCCAGCAGACGTATCTGGGTTGGTCTCTCAGACTACAGCAGATGTGGCACTAATTAGTACCATCAGCTGCTGTGCTGCCATTTTTTAAATTTTTTTTTTCCTTCTCTCCTTTGTTGTTAAACTGTGACATAACCCATGGGCCTCACTGAAGGAGGCCAGGAAGGCCCATCTTCTGCACACAGGCACACGGTGCCCACCCCCCAGCCCTGCAGAGCCTCCTCCCAGCACGAGGTCTCACAGGGACGTGGGTGTCAGGCCATACTTCTGCCGCAGGATTCCCACTGTGGAGGCCAGGGCACTGCAGGGAGAAACAGAACCAAAGGAAAAGGCTTTTAAGGATTAAATTGCATGTTCCAGGAGAAAGCAACCCACTAGACACAGTACTGCATTTTGAATCCAGGAGAACAGGACTTCCAGAAACAAACAGTATTTCAAAAAGAAGCTTCTGGAAAGGGGTCTCCTTCAGAATTTCTGGGTGTGCTGTCAATCAAGCTAAAAATTAATGAGAAGGTTCAACTGCTACTGGAAAATAAGGAAAAGACAGCCCATCCTAACTTCAAAGCTCCATTTCATTTGAAGTAAAGAAAAAAACACCATTCTACTCAGCAGAACAGCCACCAGCCAGGACGAATGATGGTGAACTTCCCCGACACAGACAAGTCAACCACAGTCGATCCCAAGCGACTCTCCGGGCTGTGGACATCCCCAGTCGGGCCCCCATCAATTATCAGGGACAAGTGAGGCCACAGGTCTTGGAATTCCTAAAAAAACCTGAGATGTGGTCAATAGCCCTGAAGATGGCTTGTGACTGTGTTGTAGCAAGAACCCACTGTCTGTGGGGAGGTAGTCTTTACCCTTCCTCTCAGGTCAGCTCACTTGCTTTCTGCCATGAACACATCACTATTTAAGTTCTGAGAACAGATTTATCTCAGACACACAGGAAAGCCACAAGTATTCTCTGGCTGAAGATTTCTCAGCTGCATCACTATTTGTTAAAGAGCTCACAAAAAAAGACAGAAGTCTATCAAGACATCTGTGGCAAGGACAGAGTGTGTCTGTCTGGTACTGTGCCCAACTGTACCACCACCAGGGTCACAAGCTCTAAAAAAAGGCACTTCTTGACTGGCAGTCCCTGGGCTACAAGGAGCCATGCAGGCAGCAGCCTCCCAGCACAGCCAGCCCCCTGCAGGAAGTTCTGCCTTTCAGATGTGGCACCCACTTCAAAAGCTGCCTACAAGCCTTGGAACCTTCCTTTCAATTCTGCCCTCCTTGCTTTTTTCAGCTGAGCATCACAGCAAAAAGCAGCCCCACCCCACACCCACAAGCATTTTAACTGGAGATCATAATTTTAAAAGTCAGCAGCAGAGAAATGTTTGTTTTGTTGCTGAAGCATCCAGCTGTGACAGCCCTGGCAGCCATCACTGCCTTGCCACTCACCGCCACGGTCAGGGTGCTGTCCTGGGAGCTGAAGTTGGCACTGGTCAGAGCCAGGGGCCCAGCACAGGCACGTGCCAGATCCCTGAGGAAAGGGTGGTTTGGGATGCGAACTCCCACCAGCTGCAGGGAAGAAGAGAGAAGGGGTTTACACACGGATCCTGAAGACCATTTTCAAACCTGCACTGCCTACAGCCCTCATGACTCAATGCTCTAGAGGGCCAATACATAAACACCAGCTGAGCCAGAGACAGCGACAGTCACAGGTCAGCCCCTAAGGTGGTGACAGAAACAGGGCAGCACAGGGAGCAGCTCTAGGATCCGCCACTCACCGCCACGCCTGGCAAACACATCTTGGAACAGCAGCACGTGAACCGTCCCTGAGCTGCATCCCGTGCAGAGACCTACCGATGTGAAGGGATTTAAGTCTTTGTTCAGCTC